TGGAAAGATATAATAATATATGGGTTTTAAATTAATAAATACATTTTAAAATAATAACCATATAATTGGAAATTGTTGGGGGATGTGTGCATTTTACCTCGTTAATTTCATTTAAAAAGAAAATAAATAAATAAATATATTATTATTTCTATTTAAAAATATCTATTAAATTGAAAATTTCCGTAGAGAATAATTGTAATTTTTTTTAGAATGGATAAAAAATACGGTAAAAATTGAGTTCTAACGGTTTGAGGTTGTTTTTTTTTTATTTATTTATAAAAGGGTGGTTGATTCAAGTGAACTCGACCGAGGTTTAAACCAATTCTAACCTTTTTTAGGATGGTTCCCACCAAAACACTTTTGAATCGGGTAATGAATTTTATATGCACATCATAATGTCTTAAGTTTGAATTTGACATATTCCGTTATTATTATAAATTTAACTATTTTATTAGTCAAATATTTGATCTTAATAATAGAAAATAATATTTTAATCGTGTCACATATTAATATTTTAATTTAAAGTTCAAAAAATTTAAAAAAAAAATCACATTAAAATTAAGTTGAGAAATTGAACTTGTTGACCAAGCTTGTAAGGAAGGAAGGGTGTAAACTTCATGAGCTTGACAGTCTGTCTGTATAGAAACGACATTCCCCCATCTCCAATCAACCCTTCAAATTTACGATAAGCAAACTTTATAGTAAAAATAAAATCCCATAAAACAACATTTTTCCTTATTATTTTTTTAAAAAATCAATAATAAAAATTTTGAATGAGAATTAAAGTTTAAATACTATTTTATTTTTATTTTTATATATATATATATAATTTCAAAATTTTTATTTTTGGGTAAATTTTTGAAAGTATAAATATATTAAGAGGTGTGAATTATTCATTTAAATATAAATTTTTAGTGAATAAATTATGTTTGGGATTATAATTTTTTTTTTTTTTTTTTTTGGTGTCAGTAATAGCTGGAAGGGCAGAATCGTAATTTGAGGGCTGGAAGACGGTGATGCCACGTTGAATTCTCCAGCGGAGACAGAATAGAATGTGTAATTAATAAAAGAAGCTTTTTGAAACAGAAAAATGCGAAATAGGCAGTTGCAGTTGCAGGCGTCGCCGGTGGGAGAGAGGTCGCGCTCTTTCTTTGCAGGGCGCCCCCGGTGGGCGACAAGTCCCGCTCATATCATCGACTCTATTTTCTTCCTTTCCGATCATTTTTTCTTCAATCCGATTCCTCAATTTCCCCCGATTTTCGACCCTTCGTCTCCTTCTCCATCTTACTCTTTATATATCTCATCACACCACCTGTAAAACGCCCCGTTTTTCTTCTCTTTCTCTCCTAAATATAGACTTATATTGCCAGAGCTCTCTCGCTCTCTCTTCATCTCTCTGTTATACCCGGAGAGCGCAATCATTAGGCGTTTCTTCTTCATGGGATTCTGTTGAGGTGCGGGTTTTGATTCTATTTGTGAGTATTGCTTGATCTGTTTCTATTTTCTTTTCATAAACATTTCTGTTGCTATTGGATTGAATTGTTGTTTATTTGTTGTTTGATTGCATTTATTGCCCGCAAGCTGTTTGTGGGTTTGTTTTTGGTTATAAAGTTAATGATTATGAGTCGTGTTCGTTGGGTGAATCTATTTGCGGTAATTGCGCATCCAATTTGTATGATCGATCTTTGTTTCACTTGTGCTTTCTCTTACTTTTTATATCTAATTTGACGACTTTGATTGGAAAGTTTTTTTTTGACATAATACATATGCATGATTGAGCTGCTTTGACGGCCATTTTGCTTTATTATTGAATCGGATGGTTGTCATTTTCTGCTTGGTATTGCTTCCGGTTTGTATATGAATCATTCACTTTTCTGAGTGTGCAGATATATATGTATTTTGTCTTTTTTGTGAGTTTTGTTGCTGTTGAATGTATAGTTAGATTCTGGTTCCCCGCTGATTTTGAAAAATTATGAGATGCCGGGAATTGTCATGGATGAGATTAATGAAGAAAGGACTGTGAATAAACACAACGGTTCTTCAACTCATATGGAAGAGTCGTATGGAAACAAGTCGCCGAGGAGCGGGTTGAGTCTTCAGAGCCCTGGAAGTGTTCATGTCCATTTCCCTGTTGATGGCTTGGTTGATACCTCTATTGAGAAGCTCTATGAAAATGTTTGTGATATGCAAAGTTCGGATCGGTCACCTTCAAGGCGTAGCTTTGGTTCTGATGGTGAGGAATCCAGGATTGATTCTGAACTAAATCATCTTGTAGGGGGAGAGATGAGGGAGGTAGAGATAATAAAGGAGGAAGAGGAGATTGTTGAGAAGCCTGGACATAACTTGCCTAGTGAATCTATGAATCATTCACCATCTGCCGATAAGAAGGAGAAAACAGAAAATATGCAACCTGGGAGCTCGAAACGTCTTTCTTCTGGAAGAAAAGCTCCTCACCTGCATTTGGACCTGGAGACATCGTCGAAATCAAGTCCCAGGGGCAAGCGTTTGTCTGATAAGCCCCCTTTTAGCAGGAAGAATGAAAAGAATTTGAAAAGTCCAGTTGCTAGTCACTCAAAGAAACCGAAAGATTCCCCTTTGAGAGGCTCAAAACTGCTGAATGGAACGGAGGATTTCAATGAATCAACGATGGATAATCCTGATCTAGGACCCTTTCTACTTAAGCAAGCAAGGAATTTAGTTTCTTCAGGGGAAAATCTGCAGAAAGCGCTTTTATTAGCTCTTCGTGCTGCAAAATCTTTTGAGCTATCTGCAAATGGGAAACCCAACTTAGAACTTGCGATGTGTTTGCACGTGACAGCAGCAATATACTGCAGCTTAGGCCAATACAGTGAGGCAGTACCTCTATTGGAGCATTCCATTGAGATTCCTGCCATCGAGGAAGGCCACGAGCATGCACTGGCAAAATTTGCAGGCCACATGCAGTTGGGTGATACCTATGCAATGTTGGGCCAGCTGGAAAATTCTCTAGTCTGTTATACAACTGGTTTAGAGGTGCAGAAACGAGTGCTAGGAGAATCCGACCCCAGAGTTGGTGAGACGTATAGATATTTAGCTGAAGCCCATGTTCAAGCCTTGCGATTTGATGAGGCTGAGAAATTTTGTCAAATGGCTCTTGATATTCACAAAAAGAATGTTGGTCCTGCTTCTCTTGAGGAGGCTGCAGATAGAAGGCTTATGGGTCTCATATGTGAAACGAAAGGAGACCATGAAGCTGCGCTTGAGCATCTAGTCTTAGCCAGCATGGCCATGGTGGCCAATGGCCAGGAGACTGATGTGGCTGCAGTTGATTGCAGTATTGGAGATTCATACCTATCCTTGTCACGTTATGACGAGGCTGTTTTTGCCTATCAGAAAGCCCTCACTGTTTTCAAGACGACGAAGGGAGAAAACCATCCAGCAGTTGGTTCGGTATTTGTTCGTCTTGCTGATTTATACAACAAGACTGGAAAAATGAGGGAGTCAGAATCATACTGTGAAAACGCCCTTCGAATTTACGAAAAGCCTGTCCCTGGTATTCCTCCAGAGGAGATTGCCAGTGGTCTTACTGATATTGCTGCTATTTATGAATCAATGAATGAAGTTGAGCAAGCAGTCAAATTATTACACAAGGCATTGAAAATATATAATGATGCCCCCGGACAGCAAAACACCATTGCTGGAATTGAAGCCCAGATGGGTGTCTTGTATTATATGTTGGGGAAATATTCTGAATCTTACGACTCATTCAATAATGCAATTCCTAAGCTCCGCAGCAGCGGAGAGAAAAAATCTGCTTTTTTTGGTATAGCCCTTAATCAAATGGGGCTTGTGTGTGTTCAGAAATACGCCATAAACGAAGCCGTGGAGTTATTTGAAGAAGCCAAGAGCATACTAGAAAAAGAATATGGACCTTATCATCCCGATACTCTCGGGGTATACAGCAACCTTGCTGGAACATACGATGCGATTGGCAGGTAATGTAACCATCCTTCTATTATGATAACATGATCAGTTCGACTTAGTCGCCCGTTTCCCATAATCTCTTTCTGGAACTATGCAATTATCCACAACCGAGTCGTTTTTGTTATCTTGTCACCAGTTTTCATTGTTTTCGTAATGGAATGTTTCGGACTCCCATCCTGTTTTCTACCAGGCATCATGACACTTTCTACTTGAGGAATTTAGTTTGCTTCACATTTTTCTTTCATGGCTTGCATTTAGCGAAGAAAGTCGCTGAAAGTTTACTTGGAGCAACAGATGATACGATGCTACACATTTTTCATACATTGATTAGTTTTTCTCTCATGACTTAATACAGGTTGGATGATGCAATTGAAATCTTGGAGTATGTTGTTGGCATGCGGGAGGAAAAACTTGGGACAGCAAATCCCGACGTTGACGATGAGAAGAGGAGGTTATCCGAGTTGCTGAAAGAAGCAGGTAGAGTTCGGAGCCGAAAGGCGAGATCGCTCGAGACTCTTCTCGATTCCAATACTCAACCTGGAAACAGTAAAGCTATAAAGGTTTGAGAAAAGATTTCTTACGAGTGATCATCGTCACCTAGTTTAGAACGGGTTCAGAAACACGACTAGTTGTGCTCAAGCAAATTCCTGATTCTTGAGGTTGTTCGAAATTCGAGTACTAGAATTTGGCGTTTCGTTTGCATTGTCGATTAAGTTATCATGTATTGGTGTATGAAGTTTATATTGTTCTGTATATGTTTACACGTAAGTGATGGCATTGTCATTGTATATCACATTGTTCTGGAATTACAAGATTGTTTGATGCAGTTTTGAATGAAATCTACGAGGATGAGGCTCCTGCTTTTGTACCATAACTACACTTCATACACTTTTTAAAATATGTATTTAAATGAAAAATTAAATTTTATATATAATAAAACTCCATTTTTTTTTTCGGATTAGATTCATAATTTTTTTAAAGCTTAACAATAAAAATTAATAATACTTTAATTATTCTCAAAACTATTCGGACCGCCTTTGTTCGCGCGCATTACTTCATTCTTCTTTCGCGTTCGTAGCTCTCTCCCAATACACGGGTTCTTCCACTCGCCGACTGCGAGTGCAAGATATCGTTTACTTTGTACGAATTTTTGTTTCTGTAATCATGGTTGAAAAATCTTCTAGTTCGTCATCTACTCTCGTTGATCAGCCAGTTGTAAGTTCGAAATTAATTTCATTTTCTTGTTTTCCCTCTTCTGTTTCCCTATTCGATGTTCTGCAGCTTCTGCTTCTGTGGTATCTTTAATGGAATGTCGATTGTTTAGGTTCCAGGAGATGTGGTTCTCGACCTCTCCAACATGGCCAATGAAACCATCAAGCTTGGAGGCGGTCTTCGACAGGTGTCTGTTAGGGTTTTACTTTTTTCAATGTTTGTGCAATCTTCTATTTATTTCGAATGTCGTTCAGGTTCGGCAATCGAAGTGCAATTGTTTTGGTTACGGGATCGCTTACCTTCATTTTTTTGATTTAATCTGTCAGGACCACGATGCTATTTCTGTCTCCAAAGTTGGAAAGCTGAGGTTCACGAAGCCGAACAAATATTGGGTTGAAAGCTCACAGAAAAGGGTAGGAAATGACACTGTTCAATTGGCTTTTGGGATCCTTATATTGCATGTTCTTTCAGCTAACTTTTGAATTGTGAACTTATGCTAGTTTCGGGGGTTTTCTTCACTTCAATTGACTACCAATATCATTTTTTAGTTTAATTTTAATAAAATGTTCTATTTTCCAGTACGTGCCATGTGTGGAAGATTGTGTTCTTGGAATCGTGGTTGACTCTAGATCCGATGTAAGTGCTGCTTTATTGTTAAAATATGTATATGTTCACTCGATCCCTAAAAATCTATTATTCTTCTATCAAAATGCCACAAAAAATTTGTCCATACCCCTAAAGGGAGGAGGATTCCAAAGCACTTCCTCCAAGAAAGCCCCTCTATATCTAATATGAAACCAACAATCATTGAATGATTTCATTAAGCGACTCCAAAAGGTAGCGAGCAAACTAACAATGCCATGACAAATGATCAAAGTCCTCATACCTCATGCAAAGAATGTACCATTGCGGAAGAATCGATGTCTAATTATTTCTATGATACTAAGGAATATTTTAATAAACCTTTATTTGTTTGGCAGATTTTGTTCGATTACCTTTTAAGCTATCACCTTATAATTCTTTTTTTTTTTGCCACATTATTTGCAGAATTTTCTTGTTGATATTAAAGGTCCGGCATTGGCCTTTCTTCCTGTTCTTGCATTTGAAGGAGGAACCAGGCGAAACATACCCAAATTTGAGGTGTTTATAATCTTTTTGTGTACACATTCTTGTTATTTTCACCATATGACCTTTCGGTATCGTTGCTCCTCTGTCTTCCTTTAGAGGTTTGATGCTTTGTCAGTTCATTTATGACCCCCGAGATGCTTTTCTTGTGTGTTTTTTCTTCTTTCATTTTTTGGGTGCTGGTGGGGGTGCCAGGGGTGGCCAGTAAAGGGTGTGCTGATGGGTGTGTTTTTTTTTCTTCTTCTTTCATTTTTTGTAGATGGGTGCCCTGCTTTATGTGAGGGTAGTGAAGGCAAACCCTGGTATGAATCCTGAGTTGGCATGCACTGATGGTTAGTTAGCTCCTCCATCTCTCTGTGTCCAATAACTTGTTTGAAGGTTGAAACAGTCCATCAAAGCATAATATCAATGTTGCTGTAAACTCATCCTCTGAAGGGGGGTTTGCAGGGCCTGCATACTTTATGCAAGTTCATGTTTCTGTTCAGTTTTTATTTGTTGTGAACTTGTGATAGTACGTCTCATGTGAGTATCATTTTGCCTGATATATAGCCAGTGGGAAAGCAGCTGGATTTGGCCTCCTAAAAGATGGCTACATGTTTGAATGTTCAACTGGCTTATCAAGAATGTAAGCCAAGTTTCTTTTCTTAAGTTTTCACTTTCAGATCATTCATTCCCATTGTTGATTTTATCCTCTCTTCTAGGCTTCTAAGCTCGCCAACATGTCCAGTTCTTGAATCTTTTGGGAAAAAGCTTTCATTCGAGACAGCAGTTGGTTTGAATGGCCGAGTTTGGGTATATTCCTTCAATCCCTACATTTTGATTGCTATACTTCTTGGTTTGCTATATTAGATTGTTGGAAACTGGGAATTATTGCTCTCCATTCTTGATATTGCACTTTTAATCTCTAACTTAACTGTTCTTTTTGAAACTTGAAGATGTTATTTCTTCTACCAATCTTAATAATAAATATCATATCTTACTTTTTGCATCTCTATTTCCAGGTGAATGCTGATTCTCCATCCACAACCATTGTGGTTTCAAATGCACTATTGAACTCCGAGACTCTGTCTGGGGTCCAACAGAGAATCATGGTGGACATGCTCCTTAACAATTTGAAGCTGTCAAGTTAGTCTTGTAAACTTTAGGGTCAGAATTATTTGTTTGTTTAATTACTCTTTTAGTGATGTATTATTTAGACAAATGTTGCTGTTTAATTTGGCCATCTTAAGGAAGGTGGAGGTCTAAATCTCTCTATCCCGTTTTCTCTAAAAAAAAAAAAAAAAAAAAGATAAATATAATTTAAGGAAATAAAAAACATACTCATATAAAAAAACTACTAATTTAATTACATTAAATTGTTTGTATAGTAATATTGAACCACGAGTTTATTTAGGAGTATTATCTGCAAAGTGATTTATATTAAAATTTAAAATTGTAAAAGAGTTGAGATCTTCTTTAACAGTTAAATGTTGTAGGCTAATGTATTTTAGTATTGTTGTGTTATTTATCAAATTTCAAAGAGTGACTTCTAATAATTCAAATTAAAGCTTTTTTTTTTTTTTTTGAGGCCAAAATGAAAACATTTGCGGAAATTCGCCGTTTGGTGGGACCCACATGAAGAGTGTGACATTTAAATGTCCGATTGCTTGCTTTTCCAATTTTTCGACCCCCAAATTTTACCAAAATAAATGATAATGCGGTCTTCGAAGTGCGCGTAATCCAGTCTCTCCCTCTGCGCGCTGCTTTCTTCCGATAGTTTTCCCCCCTTCGTCCTTCCATTTATCTTCGATCGAATTTCACGATTTCCTTCGGTTTTCGGTCCACGCCGCCCCCTTCCCCTCTCTCAGAGTTGCCTTTCTGGGCTGGAAGCTTTGATGTGTAAGACGTAAAGAAGGGGCTACCATGGCGGCAACTCAATCGCCTCCTCCTTCATCGAATGACGATGACTCCCAGAACTCAGGTCTCATTTCCTTCTTGATTTTTTTTTTTTCTCAATTTGGTTTCGCTGTTTTCTTTGTGGTTGACTTGATCAATGTTACTATGATAATACTAAGTTGGAACCTCGAGCTTCAATATCTGTCTCCAGTGTTTTTCCTCATATAAGTATTAGCTGATGGTTGGTGTTTGTATCAGCTCCAGCTCCTGCACGAGCTACGATTGAGGATCGTGGGGATGCGAAGGCGGAGGTTGAGAAGCAAACCTCTCCGCCATCGGTGTTTGTGAACTCTGAACCAATAAGAGAGGATCAAGTGCAAAATGCCGTGAAATTTCTTCAACATCCGAGAGTAAGAGGTTCTCCTGTTGTCTACAGACGATCGTTTTTAGAAAGAAAGAATCTCACGAAGGAAGAGATTGATGAGGCATTCAGGCGTGTGCCCGTAAGCCAATTATTTTAACATTGAAATATCTTATGGACTGTTGGTTTGTCGTCGATTCCTTTGTTTATTTGTATGCTGCTCCTAACTGCTGTTCACTCTTCATTTTATCTTTGGGTGCTGGGGGTGTCAAAACAGGACCCGCCTAATGCACAGACAGCTACTTTGAGTCAAGGTGATGATTACTTCGAGGAATAAAATAGATGTCTCATAGTGTAGTCGTCCGTTTTTCTCCCCCTATGTTCTTTTTTTCTTCTTCTTCCTCTTCATGGTATTTTTTGAGAATTCTGGAGTTCCCCAAATTCATTAGGTTTTATGTGCTTATTCGTGAACAGATGGACAGGTGAACACAGTTCAGCCACAGCCCTCTACGCAATCTCTTCAAACAGTTTCAGGTGTCGCTCCCCCTGCTGGTGGTGTATCTCACCAGGGTACCGTCACACGGTCTAGATTCCATTGGTCACAGGCCATTCTCGCTGTAGGATTATTGGCTATTTCAGGTGTTGGAACAGTTGTAGTAATCAAGGTAACTTTTGTATTGCTCGCTATTCTTCAAGGGCCAAACGTTTTATGTCCATACGTGTTAATTCTGTTGTTTGAAGATTTCTGGTATTTGAATGCTGAACTTCTTACTGAGTTTTGACTGATAGGGTTGAGTGCTTTTATGAATATCTCTCTATTTTGTCAGGAAAAAGATAAGACTATATTTGGAAGTGTTCTGTGAAATCTGATAAAATATTCTCTGTTTCAGAATTCTATTATTCCTAGGTTGAAATCTTGGGTGCGTAAAATTGTATTAGAAGACGAGGACATTGAGAAGAAAATTAATTCAAAACCAAGTGCAGCTGAGCAAGCAGCTGCTGCTGCCAAAGCAGCAGCAGCAGCAGCATCTGATATGGCAAAGGCGAGTCAGGAGATGCTTTATTCAAAAAATGAAGGTGATTTTAGCTATATTCTTCTTCCTCCTAGTTCCTTGTCTACTCTGGACTGAAGTTGTTAACACAAGGTTTTTCAATAACTTTCAGAGAAAAAGAAGTTCGAGGATTTTGCCAACTTGTTGGATGCTCAGCTTGGGCAGATGAAGTTGATGCTGAATGCCATTCAGAAATTGGAAGGTATTACAGACTAGCTATCTGAGAGGAGTTTTAATGATGAAAAATGGAATTAGTGTAACAATATGAAGGTTTTATAATCTTTTACTTGGGTGGGAATGATATTTAGGCTTCAAGTTCATGTGATATATGCGATGTGTTTGATTTATACAGTCGTTAGGTTAGTACATATTTGCAAATGACATTTCAGTTTCCAGAAATATTGAGTCTACCTGATAAGTGTTCCTAATTCCTTTAAAATTCTCAATGAAGGAGACGAATTAGCACCATATAATATATTTTCAATTATCAGAAATATATCGACTTACTAATGAATATTCTTAATTCTTTTACAATAATTGGTAGGAACCACGTATGGAAGAACTACTACTGTCGATCAACAAGATTATCGAATTACTGCCATGAGTTCAAAGGTGAGCTCAAAGTGGTCATAGAATGAGCAACGTTTGTCTGGCTTGAGATGATATTTTGTTTTATGGTATCTGATCTCCATTTCTTGCTGAATTTTGACTCTCAATTCATATGAATACTTTTCAGCAGCCATATTCCAATGGCAAGGTGGAATCTAGCGTGCAATCAGGTTGTTATCAGCGGTTCTGTTATATGTATGGTGTTTTTTGTTTTGAAACACAAACATCACTGTGATATGCCTAGAATTTTTATATGCAGCTACACCTGCCATACCTGTTGAACCCTCAGTTGCACCACACCCCAAATCTTACATGGAGGTAATTTAATATTCTGTGTCACTTCTGGATAATGAATTTCGTTTATTTATGAGTATGTTCCCATGTCAAAGCATGCTATCTGCCAGGTAGATATATAAACTTACACGATCCAATACTTCAAGAGAAAACTGGCTACTATCAGACTGTTTTTCACTGATCATGGACACTTGTTTACAAAATAAATAAGCAATTCAACTGAGAAAATTTACCTCAGAAACAAGGTGCAGTTTGAGTATATGGTGCAGTTAATTATTTATTGATAATTAATTATTGCTGCTGGTTGCTAATGTGTTCTATAATATGTTGGTTAAGTTTGTTGTGCATTGGTTCAGATTTCTTGTTGTTATTTATGTGCAGATCATGGCCATGGTCCAGAGAGGAGAAAAGCCATCTAATATTAGAGTAAGTTATCAATTGAGTTTTGGGTAAACTAGGCCTTTGGCTTTCAAATTGGTTCCTTACACACACGCATATCATTAGTATCAACTCTTGAACTCCTTGTGAGATTTGTTCTAAGTCTTTTAATACTGGCTTCATTGCAGGACATTGATGATTTACCTCCCAACCCAAATCAACAGCCATCAAATCCTCGTCTAGCTCCTAGAGCCAAGGTTCTTTTAGCCAAAGTTTTACTTCAACTTATTCTTGTCTTTGATGTTACTTTGATTTATAGCAAGTTGCATTTTAAACAAAAGATATATTTACCAATTTGTCTTTTGTGTCTGCTTCTAATAGCCTTGGGAAGTTGGTACGCATAACAATCCTGGCTTTTTCAATCAATCTCAAGAAGATGACAGTTCGAATTCCTTGGCACAAAACAATGGCGTGACCTATATGAACAACAATGCTCCAGTGCCTTGGTGGCAGAAGAGAAATGCTAATATTACAGAGATAGAAAATAAAGGGTTGAAGGTAGGCTCTTCCAATGGGCTCTCTGCTGAGAAACCAGTTCAACGTACATGGGTTCCTCCTCAGCCACGACCTGTTGCATTGCCAGAAGCAGCTGAAGCCATCCGAAGGCAAAAACCAACTATCCAGAAAGAGCAGCTTACTGACGAACATTTAGCAACACAACCAAATGTAACTGATGAGTTTCAGAAGGCCACAAAAGTTCCTGAATCTGGCGGAGCAATCGATTATGAGAACTTGGGAGTGAGCTCAAGTGAGATACAAGTGGAAGAAAATGGCTCCGGAGGACAGTGAAATGCGATCAGAGTATTATAGAAATCACGTATGATCTGGAGGTATAGTCTCGTGAACTTTTTCCTTCTGAATTTATAGAAATAGATGAACGAATGCTATCTATAATTTCCTGAAAATGTTCATGTACTTTGTTGAATCATGTTGTGTTTATTTATATAGAATAAAGCTACAATAAATCATATTTGGTAGTACATTGGAGTTTTTTTCTTCCAACCATGTTCCAGATCTAGATGGATAGTAACCGGTGTTGAATCCTGTTATCTGAATCTTCTTTATTGAGTGGTCAAACCTTTGTTTTTATGTGGATTCCTTGGTTCTTTTTGTATCTGTGACCTTCCCGTTCTTAGAACCTGAAAATCCTAATAGACTCTCTGATTCTCAAGAGCTATGCCCCTTGATATTTTGATGTTCCATTCATCCGCTACAACAACTTGGCTCTAAAAATGTTTCATCCTTGTTGCCATGTGTAGCTTTTGCTTCGTTTGTGCTTTTTTTTTTTTTTTTTTTTTTTTTTTGGGAAGTAGGAACCCAGCTACAACGGCATGACCAATAAAAATAGCCCATGAAATAGAGCTCAGCTAACAAAACAAAACAAAATTTCTAATAAGAGGGCTCTAATTGTTTACAATCAGAGATAAGGGATCATTAGAAAATTAGATGTTAAAAAAAATATCCAAAGAGAGACATTAAAATACTCAAGCCTTTGATGTCCTTAAAGATTCATTTATTTTTCAAACCGAATAAACTAGATGATAGCAGTGAATGCTGGTCGACCCAAAAGGTGACTTCCTTTAGGAAAAGGAGGGTGAAGAAGCCCATTCTCC